CATATATTTTTTCGTTGTCCTCTTATTACTAAGAGAAAAAAAAGAACAACATCTATTCTATACCTGAAGATGTCTGTAGGAACAGACGAAAGCTTGTAGTAAAAATAACAACTAATACGGCAGAAATTTATATAAACAAGGATCAATTCATTCATAACGGATCTGGAGGTTTTTGTATATTATTTGAATTGTTTGCGATGATGGATGTCTCGCCATTTAAATCATTAACCTTTGCATTTGTTTTGTGTGAATAATTCATGTATTTGTAAATTGATTTATTATATATATATATATATATATATATATATATATATATATATATATATATATATATATATATATATATATATATATATTATAAGTTATTTTAATATATATAAATATCATTTGATGAAAATATATATAAATATATTTAATAACTTATTTTTTTTTTGAAATTTTATTTTAAAAATAATTAACTTAGATTAAAAAAATTTTGATAAAATATAACTGATTTTAATAATTGAATGAAATATTTATTCATTTATATTGATTTAAAATTTAATTTATTCTATTTATAAATATTGTTTATTCTGCTAAGAAAATTTTTTATTTAAAATCAGAATGGTTTTTCAATTAACTTATCAAAACATTAAAATACGGACCTTCAAACAAATTAATATGCTGCCTCAAATTATCAGCATATTTTTTTTTATTTAAAATATATTTATATTTATATATATATAAAATAATTAAATATGAAAATTTATTTATATATATATATTTATATTTATATATATATATATAATTGATATATTTTAAACAGAAAAAAATTTATTCAATTATCTAATATAAATTTTTTTTATAAAATCGTTATTTATTTATCTATTTAATTATATATCTATCTTTGATTTGTTTTTAAAATTAAAATTTACATAGCAAACAAATATATATATATATAAATATATATATATATATGTATTATATATATAAATTTATATTCAAAAATTAAATAAAATATCTAATATCTAAATTTAAATTAAAAATTTTGAAAGATTTTTGATTTCTTTTCTTTAACCATATTGTTATAATCATTTAAACTGAACTTATTTTGAATTATTAATATCTATTAATTTTTTATTTATTTCTATCATTATATAACATATATTTTTTTTAGAAATTCAATGAGAAAAATTTTTAAAAAAATAAAAAAATTATATCTATTTTATTTTAATTCCAGGTTTTTTTCAATTCAATAAGATCCTTATTTCTAAAATAAAAATTAGAAAATTAGTTTGAAAAAATTTAAAATATTTTAAATCTTTCAAAATGTTAGCCAGAAATCAAAAATAAACCATTTTTTATTCAAATGTTTAAAAAATTAAAGATAAAAAGTAAAAATATATTTAAAATCAAGAAATTATATAATTATAAATAGTAAAATTATAAATTCCGCTAAAATTAATAATGAAACTATTTCTTAAACTATCTATTTGAGTATATATATATATTAATATATATATATTTATAAAATTATTAATTATATAGATTATATATATATATATATATATGTATATCGAGGAGTATTTGAATTATATATAAATTATAAAATATAAAAATATTTGAATATTTAAACGTAAGAAAATTTAATAATTTTTAACTATCAAATGAATAAATGTTTAATGAAAAAAAAAATTTTAGAAATCATTTAAAAATTTCAATAAAACTTTTGATTTTGTTGAAATTCTTAAATTGAAATTAGAAGAAAAAACAATTTAAACCTTTATTAAACCATTCTTTTCAAATTTCACAATAATTTAAAATTAGAAAAATATTTGTTTAATAACAATGACTTTTTACCTAAATTAATTTTTCTTTTTTTTTTGATTTAAAGAAAGATGACAATAATTTTAAATTTCAATGTTATAAACAATTTAAATCAAAAAACAATTTTTATTTTTAATTTTTTATAAATTTTTATAGTATTTATTCATATAAAATGATTTTAAATAAATAATTATTTATTCAATTTTTTAATTTAATTTTAAAAAATAATTTACTTATATTTAAAAACATTTTTTTCTTTTATGCTCGAAAGGGTAATTTAATAATTAAAAATTGAAAATAATTTTAAATTATGTTAAATTTTTGTTCCAGGAATAAAAATATAAATATATATAAAAAATTTTTAAATAATTAATATAAATTATATTTTATATATTTTTGTTTTTTCCCAATTGGAAATGGATAAATATATGAAGAAGTTAGAAAAAAACAAATTTCTAAATATTTTATTTGTATATAAATATAAATAAACTTTGGATATTTAATTTTTGATGAAATATTTACATAATTAAAAAAAAAAAACAAGATCCTATAAATTCAATGAAATATTTTTAATTAAAAATTGATATATAAATTGATATATTTAAAGATGATATATATTATTTATATATATTTATATATAGAAATTTAAAGTATATAAATATTTCAGAATCTGGCAAATTAAAAAAATAGAAAAAATTTGTTAGATAAAAATAAAATTCCACAGGCAATTTTTAAACAAATATAAATTATCATTAAAATATAAAAAAAAAAAAATTTTAAAAAATAAATATATATTCCTTAAATTTTTTTGAATAAGTTTTAAGGATTTTTTAATGAAATATATTCCAAATTTCTTAAGAAGAAGGAAATGGAAATTTTAAATTATGTAAGGAATGATTAAAAAATTATTTTATTTTTTTTTTTTCATTTCTTTTTAAGCATAACAAAAAAATTTATTAAAAAAAAGAATTTCAAAATATTTTTTTCCAAATTATATTTCTAAATACTTTTTTCCTTCTTTTAAGAATTCCTGTCCAATATATATATTTATCCTAAAATTTATATAATATAAATAATTGTTTTTTATTCATGATTTGAAAAAAAAATTATTTTTAAACATATTTTACATCCTTGCTAATTTTCATTTTAAATAAGATTTTATTTGTTTCTGTATTAAAAAAATTTTTTTCAAAATTTAATAATTGGAATTTCATTTTTTATTTTTTTTTTTTTAATTTTTTAAAAATCATTTTTTTTTTTTTACAAAAATATTAAAATTGATTTTATTTAACCTTCCTTGAAATTTCCACCTTTATAGATTTCATAAAATCCATAACTATATCCTTTTCTTTATATTGAACAAATATCAAGATAAAAATCTATACAGTAATCAAATAAAAAGAATAGGTGGGAAATTGAATGTATTAAACCTAAATTCTCGTATATAATTCCTTCCTTTTAATATTCTATATTTTTGAAGTTTCATTTAAACTAATAACATGAAAAAAATTCGAACCTCCTTCCTTCATTTAAAATTTTCTTCTGGCCTTCCTTTGAAAAATGTTTTTCATTTTAAAATGAAAAAATTTTTTAGGATAAAATTAAAAAAAATAAAAAAATGGAGATTTTAGAAATGATTATGAAGAATTTTCATATTCTTTAAAAATAATTAGTTCTTCAAAAAAATGTAAAATATTAATTATTCCAAAACAAATAAAGTTTTTTCTCTTTTAATGTTGGTTTTTTGGAATAAATTTCTGTCTTCTAGTTTTTTACATGGTCAGTTTTTCATTTGAAAGAGAATTCTCCTTCCTTTTTCAACAAATTCATAATAGAAAAAAAAAGGAAAGCAGTTATTTAGTCCTTCAAAATTGATTTCTCTTGAAAAATAAGTCATTCCTTTAATTTTTCTGAATTAATTATCCTTTAAAATTTTTGAGTTCAAGACATATTCTTTTTTGAGAAATTGAAATTATTGTATAAATTTGAAGGATTGTGAAAAAGAATAAATTTATAAAATAGAAAAAAATACAATATCAAATTGAAGTCTGAATTTAAGGATTTGATAAGAAGAAAGAAAAAAAAAGATAAGAAGGAAAATCAAAAAGATTGAGAAGAAGAAGACATTGAAATTGAAAAAAAGAATTTTAAGAATGAAAATCCTGAAGAAAATTTTATAAAAAAAAAAATGGATCGATTTTTGAATAAATTAAAAATATATATTTAAATTTAAAAAAGAGATTTTGGCTAAATATTTTTTTTTTTTTTGAAAAAAATCAAATGAAAACAAATGGTGAAAAATATCCAAAAAAATAAGAAAAATGATAAAAAAGGAAAAATTTAATATCAAAGACAAGATGAATTAAAAAAAGAAAATTGTTAACTGAATCTTGAAAAATTGAAATGTTATAGTTTTATTTTTTGAAAACCATTTTCTGAAAAAGGGAAGGTTTAAAAATTGTGAAAATTAAAGGAAAGAGTTAAAGATCAAAAAAAGAAAATTGTCTTTAAATATTAAATTTTTTTTTAATTTTTGAGAATTCCAAAATAAAGAATAAAAAAAAAATTGAATAAAAAAAAATAAAAAGAAGATAAAAAGAAAAAAAAAAAAGATTTTTTGAAAGAATATAAAATAGAAAAAAAAAAAGATGAAGGAAAAATGAAATAAATTGGAATTCCAGATAAAACCGAAAACAAAGAAAGAATTTAAGAAAAACAAGATTTAAAAGGAAAATGAGAAAAAAAAAAAAAAAACCCAAAAAAAAAAGAAAAAAAAGAAGAAGAAAAAAAGAAAAAATGATTAGAAATAGCTTTAAAAGAAAAAAAATTTTGAAAAAAAGAAAAAAAAAGGAAAAAAAAGAAATAAAATTTCAGAAGAAAGAAAAAAAAAAGAAGAAAAAAAGAAGAAAAAAGAAAGAAAAAAGAAAAAAAATGAAAAGAAAAGAAAAAAAAAAAGAAAAAAAAAGAAAAAAATTCAAGAAAAAAAAAAAAAAAAAAAAAAAATTTTTTAAAGAAAAGTTAAAAAAAAAAAAAAAGGAAAATAAAAGAAAGAAAAAGAAAAAAAAAAATAAAAAAGAAAAAAAAAGAAAAGAAAAAAAGAGAAAAAAGAAAGAAAAGAAGAAGAAAAAAAAAAAAAAAAAAAATAAAAAAAAGAAAAAAAAAGGATTGAAAAAAAAATAAATAAAAAAAAAGAATTAAAAAAAAGAAAGAAAAAATAAAAAGAAAAGGAAATGAAAAGAAGAAAAGAAAGAAAAGAAGAAAGAGAAAAAGAAAAAAAAAGAGAAAGAGAAAAAGAAAGAAATTTCAGAGATTGTTAAACTGAAGAAAGAAGAAAAAAGGATGATGATGCAAGAATTAAAAAAAAAGGAGGAAAATATTTTGGAAGGAAGGAAAGAAGGAATAAAAGGAAAAAGAAGAAAAAGAAGAAGAAGAAGAATTGAGATGGTTGACAAACGAGAAGAGGAAAAAGAAAAGGGAAACGAAGAGAGGTCCTCAGAAGAAGAGGAGGAGAACAAGAAAAGAAATTGTTAAGAATAAAAAAGAAGTTAGAGGAAAACATTACAAAAAAAGGAAGGAAAAGTACAAAATTTTTGAGAAGAAAAAGAAGAAGAAGAAGAAGAATTCCTCCGAAGAAAAAAAAAATTTTATAGAAGAAAAAAGAAATTTTTTTAAAAAAGGAGGAAAAAAAATTTTTTACCTGAAGAAAGAGCAGGAAAAGAATTGATGATAGAATAAGAATAAGAGCCAAGACACGGATCCAAAGTAAAGGAAGGAAGGAAAGAAGGAGGTTACGAAAATGAAGAAGAAAAATGAAGAAGAAGAAATTACCTGAAGAAAAAAGACAATATTTCTAACGAGAAGAGGAAGAAGGGAGGAGGAGACGAATGAGATAGAAAACCTATGAAGAAGAATAAGAACAGGAAAGGATGATGATTCCCAGAATTAAGAAGTTGTTAGAGGAGGAAAAGAAGAAGGAAGGAAGGAAAGAAGGAGGTAGACGAGAAGAAGAAGAAGAAGAAGAAGAAGAAGAAGAAGAAGAAAAGAGACAAGTAGACAGACGAGAAGAGGAAGAAGAGGAGGAGGAGACGAATGAGAGGACCTGAAGAAGAAGAGGAGGAGAAATTTATTTGATGATAAATGAATGATCTTTGAAAAAGAAGAAGGAGGAAAAAAGAAGAAGGAAGGAAAGGAAAAGAAGGAGTAGACGAGAAGAAGAAGAAGAATAAAGAAGAAGAAGAAGAAGAAAAGTATGATGATTTTTTGATCAGATGTATGGGGAAATGTAAAAAAGGTCAAGATTTTGAAAAATAACTTCAATTGGTGAGAGCGAAATCATTTTACTCAGAGTGTTCGATCGTGTAATGCTTTTAACCTTTACAATCTTAGATGGCTGTTTCTAAATTTAGGTAAAATAAATGTGTTTTAAAGAAAAAATTCTTTTCAAAAAAAAGAGCTCGTCATTTCCTGTTGTCCGAATGGTTTGATTGGTCCATTTTAGAATTTTCCCAAAAAAGGAAATCTTGTAAATAACAGTTTATTTTTTGAAACGTTTTCAGATACATCTGTCTCATTGATTTTCCCAGATATTTTGCAATCTTTTAACAGATTTGCGTCGTCTGTTCCCATTTTCGTCAGATAATCATCAGTGTCGATAGGTGGTAGGATAATTATTGTATTGGAAACTTTAGGAATAAAACGAAATGACTCAATAATATGTATTATTTATATTATTCGGACTATTGTCCCCATCTTTGTCGCTATATTTATCACAACGTTTCGGCGGTTGTACGCTCCGGCATTCTTCAGGTGTTGGAATGTCGAACTGAACCCTTTATTTCACTCACTGGGGTAGACTGTTCTAGTTCCACGTGTCATGATTTTAATGGGTGTCAGTTATCAGTTATCTCCTGTTAATTCCCCTCTGTAAGTTCTCCACTCACACTTGAACTCACACTCTTTGGGTCCCGTCACTGGATCTAACTAACTGCGCCATGTGTCCTTGAGAACATCTGGGTATGAATTTCTGGGTATTATAAACCTAATGTCTTCAGCAACTGTTTTTTTTACCAGTGCTCATATTGCAATTTTTTTTTGCTGTTATCATTTTATGTTTTTTACCAGAGCTCATATTTTTTGTTGTTATCATTGCTTTTCTCTGGCACTCCTTATTACTGGTTCCCATATTGTATTTATTTCTATGCTTGGTCGGCTCAGGAGATTTTTTGTGGCCTAGCATATGTGCTGATTCCTTAAGTTTACGAATTTTCCAATGGTGTTTCCTTTGTCTATGATCTCAACATGATCCCATCTAAGGCGGTGGATCTCCTTTCTCTCCATATGGCCAGCCACGCCTGATTTTTTCCACTTCCCTCGTGTTACAATACCTGGTTGGCACCAAGACTTCCTTAGAATTCAAGGAGAGCCCGTCGGGTCTGCAGAGAAAGCAGGACACGCCCTTATCCGAGAACTAAATCCGCTACAATCGTTGGATAAAACAGCGACTAAAGCTCATATTCCCAGAGACTCGAGGGCTTTCTTCCAAGAATTCATTAATATTGAAGACCAGAGAAGGATCCAAAATGACCTGGATAAATCCTTCAGGAATCAGCACATATGCTAGGCTACAAAAATCTTCTGAGCCGACCAAGCATAGAAATAAATACAACATGGGAACCAGTAATAAGGCGTGCCAGAGAAAAGCAATGATAACAACAAAGTTGCAATATGAGCTCTGGGAAAAAAATGAAATTTCTAAGGTTAAAAATATCACAATTTTCATCAGTGTCAGAAATATCACAATTTTCATTAGCGTCAGATATATCACACTTTTCATTGGCGTCAGAAGTGTCACAATTTTTATTAGGGTTAGAAATATCACACTTTTCATCAATGTCAGAAATATCACAATTTTCATTAGCGTCAGAAATATCACAATTTTCATCAGGTGTCAGAAATTTCACAATTTTTATTAAGGTTACACATATCACAATTTTCATAGCATCAGAAATATCAAAATTTTCATTAGCGTCATCTCTATCATTCAATTTTCATAGCGTCAGAAATTAAATACAATTTTCATCAATGTCATTAATTCACAATTTTCATTAGCGTCAAAATATCCTTCATTTTCATCAATGTGTCAGAAATTTCACAATTTTTATTAAGGTTAGAATTCATCAATTTTCATAGCTTCAGAAATATCACAAATTTCATTTGCGTCAGAAATATCACAATTTTCATCAGGTGTCAGAAATTTCACAATTTTTTAAAAAAATATCAAATTTTCATAGCGTCAAAAATATCACAATTTTCATTAGCATCAAAATCTCACCATTTCATCAGGTGTCAGAAATTTCTACAATTTTTATTAAGTTAAAATATCACAATTTTCATTTTAATCAAAATATCACAATTTTCATTAGCGTCAGAAATATCACAATTTTCATCAGGTGTCAGAAATTTCACAATTTTTATTAAGGTTAGAAATATCACAATTTTCATATTTGTATTTTCATTTGCGTCAGAAATTATCCTCTTTTCATCAGGTGTCAGAAATTTCACAATTTTTATTAAGGTTAAAAATATCAACAAATTTTCATAGCGTCAAAATATCACAATTTTCATTAGCATTCAAATTTTTATCAGGTGTCAGAAATTTCAATTTATTTTTCTTAAGGTTAGAAATATCACAATTTTCATTAGCGCCAAAAAATCATAGTTTCATCAGTTTCAGAAATATTATTTTCAATTTTAAAATTATCACAATATTCATAATTGTCAGAAATTTCACAATTTTTATTAAGGTTAGAAATATCACAATTTTCATTAGCGCCAGAAATATCATAGTTTCATCAGTTTCAGAAATATTACAATTTTCATTAGCGTCAAAATTATCACAATATTCATAATTGTCAGAAATTTCACAATTTTTATTAAGGTTAGAAATATCACAATTTTCATTAGCGCCAGAAATATCATAGTTTCATCAGTTTCAGAAATATTACAATTTTCATTAGCGTCAAAATTATCACAATATTCATAATTGTCAGAAATATCACAATTTTCATCAGTGTCAGAAATTTCCAAATCATCAATTTCAATGAGGAGACCCGTCATATTATTATTGTCAGAATTTTCAATAGTATCAGAAATTTTACTCTTATCGTTATCAACAAAGAGACTGGATAATTCATCAGTGTCATAAATTTCCAAATCTTCAATTTCAATGAGTATACCAGACATCTCGTCAATTGCTTTAATTTGTTCACCTATCTTAGCTAATTCTTTGAAAGCATCACATCCAAATTGTTCATAAGTATCATCATTATACTTTGATTCTTCAACATTGCTAACAATGTAATTATAATCTATTGGTCAGTAATAGTCTCCATGATATAAAACCACCTATTAATCGCTTCTTCCATTGGAGTGATGGACATTTAAGATAGTTTCTTTGGCCTTCAACAAGTTTATTGACCTCTCAATTCTTTCTTTGAACATACACCTTTTTTAATAGTTTAGAAGCTTCCTTTATTTTTAGATAATCTTCCAGCAAAGATACATCAATTTAAGTTAATTTATTTTTGTTTATAAAAACAGAACCTTGTTGCTTCAGTAAATACTGAATTTTCATTTAAATATTTTTTAATATAAAAGAAGATGCATAAAATGTTCCAGGCTATTTTATCGTTAACACAACTCTATTCGGGAATACTGGATAGGCATTATTTTTTATGAAAATAAAATTTTCACTTAAAATAATTTTTCAAGAAAAAATAAAATACAGAATTTACGCACAAATTCTGGATAGTTTTGAAAAGTTAACACACGGTTAACACATTTGGTTGAGTTCAATCACAATCCTGAATGAATAGTTTTTGAATAAACCACAGCAGAAATTCTCGAATAACTTTAAAAAACAGAATCTTGTTTCAGTCAATATACTGAATTTACATTGAAAGAAGGCATAATTTTACACAAATTCCCCTTCGCTTTTCAAGTTAAGATCACGCTTACCATTTACATTCAGGAATTCTTTAGAAAAGGTTTTGAATCCGAGTTAACTTAAATTTTTTCATAGTTTATTTTGGTAATCTATTTCTATTTCTATCAGTCACGAGAAAAGTTATCCAGTCAGAAGGTACAAAAGATTTCCTTAAAAATTCACGCAGGAGAGTCTTGTAAAAACGAACACAAATTTTGTTCTTTGGATTTAGGAATTTACATTATATTTTTATGCAAGATATAAAAAATGTTGCTACAGTAATATAAAACGTTTTTGTGCAAAATATAAAAACTAATTAATGCGTTTAATGTTATGCGTGGAACCTCTTTGATGTTTGGTATTTTTCAGTCACAAATAAGTAATGTATTCTCCTGCAAACTTTCGGTGTTTTGGGCCCGGTTCAGTTTTTTCTGCTTCTACCTCTTTTAATTTTGAGGGTTGCCTTCTTTTTAGTTGAGATAAAAGGCGATAGGGAGAAGGAGAGAGAGGCAGGGAGAGTAAGGAGAAGATAAGAGAATTTAAGGAAAGCGCAAAATTTTAATTATCATTCTTTTTCTTTTTGTCTGTATATTTGATTTTTTTTATTTTATTATGACTGAAGTTAGGTGCAACTTTTGTTGCTTCGTTTGCTGACATAGATGATGTACAATAAAGAGGAGAATTTTTGCATTTCATGTGGTCGTAAAATAGGATGCGGAAGTTCATGAGAACAATTGATGGGATCTCTTTAATACTATGTTTAAATTAATATCAGCGAAGTATGTGAAGAGGCATAAAATGTACCTTATAATTAAAAATAATAGAGGGGAAAATACATCAAAACAAAAATAACTTCAAATGCTCGAAGTCAGTTAGATATAGTGATACCACTATATATATATATATATACTAGCAGCATGGCCTGGCGTTCCCCGTGCTTGATTAAAAAATCATACGACTCATACAGCAATCGCTATCACTTGACTTAAAATATTTTTGGCCCTTCCTTGCCTTTAAAGGCGTGCCCTTTGCCGTGCTGATATTGCTACATGCCTTACTTCTTGCCTATCTCACACTGCGAATTTTTTCTAAGCTCCATACTAAACATTAAATCTGTTACGAAAAAAGAACTAAACAAAATGAACACAAAACGATCAACTTTAAAAAAGGACTCGTAACTGGAAAAAACCGAATGAAAAATGAATGTTAACAAATACTTTTTCACACCCAACCCAGTTCTGCGGAATCAGAATCAACGTTGAGTTTAAGCAAGCGAATGAGCCAATTGGAGCAAAGTGCCATGCAGATTTAAATTTTTCCCAATTGTGACGAATGCAGCTATCGATTTTTTTGCATGCAAGCATGCTAGTTAACATTCGTGTCAGTCAACTGTTGGCTCTCACGCTGGCCAATAGAATCTTCCTGCCTATTCGTGGCAGCCAGCTATAGGGTCCCATACTGGCCAGTAGAAAATGGCCGCAAACTACATGAAAACTGCCGTAGAAGCATGAAAAACTCGATTATTTCCACAATCGATGGGAGTTGGGAAATGCAAAGTCGGTGTTGGCCTTCCCACTAACTTGGAGCATATGCATGTAAATTTCGGTGCAAATCTCTCGAAAATTGCGACCGTGCATTCGTTACACACACACACACACACACACACACACACACACACACACATCACTCATATCCTATATATATATATATATATATATATATATATATATATAGTGACATCATATATATATAGTGATATCATTTAATTTAGGATTCTCTTTCTCTCTCTCTCTCTCTCTCTCTCTCTCTATATATATATATATATATATATCGTAAAACACACCCTGAAGATGACATTGTGTTAATGTCGAAAGTACTCGTAATAAAACTATATATCAACTCGGTAATTTTTCGCTTCTTTTAATACCGACATTAGAAAGCTCATCCAAGAATATGAACGGATCCTGTTGAAAATAAGCAGACAAAACTTGTCTAAACTAGTCAACGAAACTTACCTCTCTCTCTCTTTTTCTCTCTCTTTCTTTCTCTCTCTCTCCCTCTCTCGCTCTCTCTCTCTCTCTCTCTCTCTCTATATATATATATATATATATATATGTACTGCAATAGACTACATATATGTGTATATACCGAAATACACGGCCCTAATTGACCGAACAAAAAAATCAAATTTATTATTTACTACAAAATATTTAAAACAGCTATACTCTTCCTCAAAAATAGCAACACACCAACAAAATCAAAATTACTTCAAACATATATTGAGTTCAAATACCCCTTAAGGAACTGTGTTTCTGATAAAACGGAATTCATAAATAATTACATCGGTCACACGACTACATGCCTATCCAAACGCCTTACGTTACATCTATCTAACCACAGCTCTATTAGAATCCATTTAAACACACACACAAACTTACCAGACTCCATCCGAAACATACTAGTAGAAAATACAAACATAATAACCACATCCACGTGTAAAAAAGATTAAAAATAATGGAAGACTTAATAATAAAAAACGAGAAATCCAACAATCCAACAATCAGTAATATTAACTACGAACACGACACAATGGACTATGTTCGGGAAATAAAACATCCCTATAATTTTAGCAACATACACACAACCCATAAACCCAGTTAAAAAGCAAAAATAAAATCCTCCTTGAAAATAGCTAAAAGTATAGCCGCAAGTGCTCGGAACTACAGAACATTTGGACAGTTTCTACGCATTCTGCGTCCAGAAAGGAAAAAAAAACTTGTTCGAAGCCAAGAAAAATTAAATAAAAAGCTTGTTTGTTGTTTGTAATGACACATGTATAAATGAAGGACTCCTACCTAAATACACAATATATATATATATATATATATATATATATATATATATATATATATATATATATCCAAGTATATGATTGGTGTATACGGAATAAATTCCAATAACCAACAATTATTATTCTTAAAAGAGTGCTCAATACAAGAGTAGAGCAGATATAATTATTTATTTAAAAAAATCAGTATAATATAAATATGTTATAAAATCACTACAAAAATAGCCATTTTGTTTAAACACCTCCGGTATCTTATCAATGATGTTGAATGTAAAAACAGTTTTAAATTCAATTCAAGATAAGACATCGGAGGTGTTGAAACAAAATGGCTATTTTTGTAGTGATTTTAATACATTATTTATATTATAATTTTTAAATAAATAATTATATATATATCTGTCAGTGCGCTCTCAAGTTACTCTCTAGATCAACCATCGACAAACACACTCTATCACAATCTGTACACGTCAGATCGACCTGCCTACGTGTATCTTCAGGAAGGTCAACAGAGACGCCTTTACACACATCTCTTTTAAGCTTTGCGTGCCTCCTTTTCTCATCTTCAAAGTGACGCCTTCCACTATTGGCAGCCTCATTACAATTATTACGATCAGATACACATCATTCTTCCCAGTGCTCACAAGGAATGTTGAATTTCTTCAGCGCATTCTTGATGCAGTCCTTAAAGCGCATCTTATGTTTGACGGCGTTTCTCTTCCCTGCTCGCAGCTCACCATAAAACAATTACATTGGAATGAGGCTGTCATTCATTCTGACGAGGTTAGGCTTCCCACTGAAGTTGATGTTTTAGTATCAAGGACTCGAGACTATCACAAACACATCTCGCTAGCACCTCTACATCACTAACAAACATTTGCTAGATGATGCCAAGGATACGACGTAAGCAGTACTGGTGGAATCTCTCAAGCCTTTTCATTTGTCTGGAGTAGATCACCCACATCTATCAAGCGTAAAGGAGTGCTGTAAGCACACATGCATGATAGACTTTTACCTTTGTACTCACTGAAATTCCTTACTGTGTCCACAGACGTTTATTTAGTTTTCCAAATGCGTCGCTAGCTTTTTGTATGCGGTTTGAAATTTCCGTATCAAGATCACATACTCAACATGCTCCCAATATACACAGCCTTCAACCTATTACCATAGACAAAGATGCTTGGTTCACGATATGGCTTTCTTAGAGCTGGTTGGTACATGACTACTCTCGTTTTCAAACTAATAGTCAATCCCAGTGCAATGCATACATTAGAAAAAGCATCCATGAGATGCTGCATATCTCCTTCCAAGTGAACCACAAAATCCCTGCCCCACTTGCCCTTGTACAAAACAATCATGACAGCGTCTTTCCAGACTGTTATTGCTCTAGGCATTTAGCAACAACGAATAAAGCCGATGCAAAAGACCTTCTCCCGTGTGCTTAAAATCTCGGCATGCATCCCATAAATTCCAGATAACTTTCCACCATTAACCTTTCTGACAGCATTTTCAACCTCTTTAAACTTTGCAGGCTCTGCAAGAAATTCTTTAACAGACTTTTCATGCATAGATAGATAAACTCTTCGTCAACCTCTGAGTGCCTATTGAGAAGCTCGTCAAAATGTTCACGCCATCTCAACAGAATATCATCGGGAGCTTGAAAAAGTTTTTTTGCCATTCTTCACACCCGACGCAATCTGTATTTCATCACTCCTCCATTTTGTCTTCATATCAACTTTTACTGTCTTTAATTTGGTCTCATTTTCCTTCTTCTGATCACCAATTAAATCACTATGAAGTAATCCAGAGTGGAGTTTATTTTTCTCTTCCAAGAGCTTTTCTATGTTCTTTTAATTCCGATCAAACCAATCCTGATCTGCCTAAACTCAGAAAGTATTCAGCCACTCCCCGCCTTTTCCTTTTTACGGACAACACTCTTAACAATTGCTCTTACCAGACGATGGTCAGTCCAACATTCAGCCCTACGTATCACACGCACAGTACATAGATCCCGTACATTACGGCTCCTCACAAGAATATAGTTGATCATGGGTCACTGTTTTGATTCAGGATACATCCATGTTGTCTTATATCTGTTCTGTTGTTGAAACATTGTGCTACTAATGAACAGGTTCAGTTCGGTGCACATTTGAAACAACAACAGACCATTGCTGTTGCACTTTCCAACCC